AGAAGAATTGCCTTGCTCTCATCTTAGTAAAAGTAAGTAATATTTTTAAAACATTTTTGCAAAAACAAGGATAAAAAATAAATGAAGCTTTATTTTATCATAGCTTGTAATCTTGGTTTTTAATAATACACATGTGAGTAACGTTCATTTTCTCAACATTTCTTTAACCTAGCTTTCACTGAGGACCACTCAAGACATTTTTGTATACTCACTATTCAAATTATTATCTGATAGTTTTGCATGTAGACTTCTAAAAAATCGTTTTGAATAAAATTAACTTTACAAATTTACACTTTAATATATAATAAAAGTCATTTTTCTAGAAAACAGGGTGAATTTTTGTAGCTTTTTCCAAGTATACACAATAATGCTATGAAAGACATGCAATAAGAGTAATTTTACATAAAATGTCTAAAATAAAATAATTTCATAATTTAAAATAAATGTGAAAGAATAATAGCACTTCCAAATGGAGAAAATAGAAGAAAGTATGTATTACTACAGTGAACACACATAAATAGTAGATGAAATTTTTAAAATATTCTTTTGAACCTGTAGCTGAAATCATTCCAAAATTTTGAACAGAATGTTAAGAAATAACAATTTAATTTAAAGTGGAACAATATTCTATAAAAGAATGTGGATACTCAGGAGGGTATAGACAGCAATTTGGGAGCATGGATTGCAAAATGGATTACATTATAAATCACAGAAACTTAGGTTTGAAGTCTCAGGATAGTGTAGTGGGAGCACTCAGTGACAGAATAGGTGCACACTCAATGAAAATCTGAATTGAGAAAACCCATGCTCATTTTCACAGAAAGTTTACATTTTTTCTGAAAAGTATTGTCTACTACTTATAGAGCAGTGAGTCAAGGCGAAACATTCCCAAGTGTATTTGATACCTGTGCCAACATCTAAGACAAATTAAGCTTTTATAGTCCGAATTTGTTCATAATAATCTTAATTATTCAATACAACAAACTGAAAAATCCACAAAAATATAATTCTTTGGAAATTACAGTATTTACACCAAATTAATTCATTGCTGTCTGGAAAGCAATGAAATGTAGACATGGCATCACAAATTATTTGGAACATGGAAAAAAATGTAGTCAATAAAATTTCTGTTAGCTTAAACAAATTCAGTACTTATAAAAATGTAAACTAGTCCAAAAGAAAAGAACTTATAATCATCCTAATAAATTTAAAAAATGAAAAAATTAACAAAAGTAAATGGAAAATGTAACTTACTATGGGTCAAAAGTGAAATCAATTAATTAAGCCAGTTCTTTGAAAAGTACAACAGCATGAACACCACCCACGTGAATGTGATGAGTACAAAACTGAAATATTCAGTGTTTTATTGGAAGACCTTGAATACGCAGTAACACAAGAAAACAAAATAATCAAGATCAATATGGGAAAGAATAAATAAAATGATTGAATTTAATTGATTTTAAAGTCTTAGTCACATCTTCCTTTTCTGAAATGGAAGTCATGTCATACAATGGATGATATCTACCATTGTTCATAGTTTAAGTGGCAACATTTTATTTCAATAGTGATACATTATATAATTGTATGTCTTACAACTGATGATGTCCTAAAGTGGATGAAATTTGACATGTGTTTTCTTATCCTGAGGATATGCTTACATATCCAGAAAACTGAAGAAACTTAATGGGAAACTAGAGGAATTAATAAGGGAATTTGGTATGCTAGATGAAAAAATTGAAATTATATAAAATCAGTAGACTGTCATATGGAAATCAATGAGCAAATATTATTTCAGTCATGACAGCCATACAAATGTAATACCAAGAGAATAAATTAAACATAAAAGTACAGTATACATATAAAGAAAGTATAAAAATATCTTAAAGGAAATTAAAATAAAATTAGAACAAAAGAAAGGCCATCAATTTTCTTGGCGGGAAAATCTTAATATAAGCATGCATCTAAGTATAGATTCTTTATGTATTGTGGAAACACTAATTTATCTATTTATTTGTATATAGTCACTAAGCAAGTAGAATAGTAAAGGAAAACAAATTTTAATGCAGGTTATCTGAAGCAGAAACCGAGTGATGTAATCATAAAGAAGAGTGAGTAGAAAGAGAAAAAAGAAAAATAATACATTGACCATATAATCCCATGAAACATGAGGGTCTGTGTATACATATATGTGGATGTAAATAAAGAAATATTTTTAAAAATATGTTTCCATCTGCAAAATGATAGATGATCAAATTTGGGTTGGGAAGTGAAAAAAACTGTTATAGTTTATTTTCTTAAAACTAATTCAGTTAAAAAAATACAAAAAAAAAGAAAAATTCCTTTGAATGTGTAAATGTTGCACATTACACAATGGAATATTATTCAGACATAAAAAATAGGAAGCCATGCCATTTGCAACAACATGGACCATAAGGGTATTAAGTGAAATGAGTCAAACAGAGAAAAATACTGTATAATCTCATTTATATGTGGCACCTAAAACAGACAAAAAAAAAACCCTCAAAAAAACCCAACCTCATACAAAAAGAGATCATATTTGTGGTTACCAGAAAAGGGAGGGCAGTGATAATGGGGGACAGGGATGTGGACAGATTGGATGAAAGTAGCTGAAAGATACAAATATCAGTTATAAGATAAATAAGTATTGGGGATGTGATATAGACCATGATAATAATAGATAACACTGCTGTAAGGTATATTTGGAAGTTTTTAAGAGAATAAACCTTAGGAGTTCTACTCTTAAGAGGAAAAATTCTTATGTCTGTATAAGATGGATGTTAACTAAACTTATTATGGTAATTACTTTACAATGTATGTAAGTAAAGTCATTATGCTGAACACTTTAAACTTGACATACAGCACTGTATGTTAATTGAATCTCAATAAAACTGGAAAAAATAAAATATAAAATTCCCAGGACAAACTATAAAAAGAAGAAGAGCACACTAAACTCAAAACAAGCAGAATGAAAGCTATCAAAAAAAAAAAAAGATTAGAGTGGAAATAAACAAAAAAAGAAAATAGAAAAATCAATGAAACTAAAAGATAGCTATTTGCAAATATCAACAAAAGTATATAGAACATGGATGTGAGATAGAAAATTAATAAAAATTTAAATGGTGAATAAATCTAAAAGTTGATTCTTTTAAAGTTTTCAAGAAAATTAATAAATTTCTCAGAAACTTGAATGAATATAAAACAAACAGCAAAATATGTAAGGTTACAAATCTTAAAGAAAATGTAAATACTAAGGCAGTACAAATTAGAATAACTTTATGGATGTACTAAAGCAATTCCACAACAACAAAAAATAGGTGAAGATCCAGAGCTAATGAACAAAGTTGTAGCAAACCAGAATTTTAAAAGTTAATTCAAGATGTGGAAATGAATAGATTCTTACTAAAGATGGTGGAGTGGTAGAACCACAAGTTTGTCTCTCCTTGCAACTACAACAAAACCACAAATGAATGCTAAACAACCACGGAAAAAAGACTGGAATCTAGCAAAAAAGATCTTCTGCAACTCGAAACATCAAGAGGGAAACACAGCAGGATGGTAGGAGGGGATTGCTAGTGATATAATC